ACCTAAATGCATATTGGGAGGAAGCACAAAAGGGAGTCAAGTGACATTTTAGGCATTTCAGTCCCAGGTCACGTCTTGAGAAAATTGCTGAAATAATGGAGGGGGGCATTTTTCAAGCAGAGCTGCAGCTCCAACAGCTATGTTTACTTTAACGCTTCACTAGTGACTTCTGATTGGTTGTCATGACCTCATCTCACTGTTGCACCTAGGATGTTGCAACAGTGACATATACATACCCTTCTTGTGAAAAAGATGAGAATGAACACAACATACATCTTTCAGAAAAGATGAATGGACAGTGGTTTGTCCATTTTAACCATGGGTAGATGTAGCTTATAGATAAAACACCTTGGGATCATTTTCCTTGAGGATGAGCACCTATCTTCTTTCAAACCAAGCAGATAGAATGCTGAACTTGAAAAATATGATTGATAAATCTGTGTGAAATGATCTCTTACAGAGCCTTGCCTGAAGACCAAAATGGATAGTTCCATAGGTCAGAGGATTCTACTCTGGCCCCTAACCCCTTTGGTCATATGTGGCTTGCAGTATTGGAAGGTTAATATGCAGAGTTGCGTACTTTTGCTCATTTTTTTTTTATTTAGCCAACCACAAGAGAATGAAAAGATGTAGAATTTGCTCCTATTTTTTATTTTCCTTATAATTGGTAATTAATAAATAAATCAACTTAGATACAGCTTTAGTTTTCACAAGGTTTCTTCTGGGGCCAAAAGTACATTCTGTTTTTAATCAGGCACTTAAAAATCATATCTATTTGTAGAAACTTCTTGATAAGTACATTTCTATACTGATTTAATTTCTCTAGTAAGATTTCCTCTTTGGTTCTGTGAGTTTGGCATCACCTGTCTGTTTTAGACCTCTCTGACCTAAGCTATCATTTTTTGATTGAATGATAAATGAACTATTATTTATTGGTAAGTGCACCTATAGACTTCAAAGTAAAGAAGGCATGGAGGCCTGTGTGTTCTGTTTAAATCACAGCAAACACTTGTGCTGAATAAAGTACTATGTCTACTAATAAAATTTTGAGGGTTCCTGTTTAAGATTCCATGGTTTATACCTTATAAACACCGCCTGAAAATGAAACTACAGCTATAGCTACAAAACGACACAAAATGCCATGAGATAAAGAGATAAAACTTACTTTTACCAATATCTGTCCTCTTGATTACTTTCTTGATGTCTACTAGACTGTGCATTCAAACATAGGAGTTAATTAATAACTTTATGTATGCTTTGTCTCTTGAAATTTTGGGTATTGGAATTGATTTGGGTTAATCATTATAAAAAAAATGCCAGGAGTTTTATTATTTAGTTGTAGAATGTTAGATAATCAGTTTTATCATTTTATCTTGTTAAAGATAACAAAAGTCTTCAAATGTGTATTTGAAATGACCTAACTTTTTATCTTATGAGAAATTTAGCATGCTTAAGGAATAATTAAAAAGGAATACTTCAATATCAAATGTTTAAGGTTCTAAGCATTAGTAATGGAGACCTCCTTGTTAGAATGGCAACACACAGTTCTTTTATAATATTGTATTAGAACACTTTTGTAAAACTTTATGAATACGTTTGTTAAAAGTCAAACTAGGACTTTTTTTACTTATTTCTGGTGCTCTGATGGAATCACCAGGAATAGAAGGAATTAACTTTTTAAATAGTATTTATTTTGATTTTTTTTAAGATATAAGTTGATATTTTTCTACCTAACATGGTTAAATTTAACTGCTGGATGCTGTCTGCTTTGTTTACTTTGTCTATTTGCTTTGACTCCTTGGTTTCCATATATTAATGTTGACATGACAAAAATCTTTGTAGCTTTATTATATAAAGGGATTTGTTTAACAGTGTTTATGTGTAACAGAGAAAAGGAGGCAAAGCTGAAGTTTCAGTGCATATCTGTGATTAGAGCATGTAAATAGGATAGTTAAGTTATTTTGTTGCACTAGCTTTCTGCTACTCATTATAAAATGGTTATGAATGGTCTCTGTGAATATTGCATTAATTAATTTATCAGGAAAATTTTAATTGAAAAATGTAAGATTTTACTGGATGGTAATTGAATTTGAAACAAAGACATTTATTAAAATTAGCTCTCATTTCTGCAAAAAATGTTCCTGAATATTTCTTGATTGTTATTTTATTAATTAAATTGGCAGTATGAAATATCTAAATGATAAAATATTTTCCAAATAATTCAGGTGTTTAAAGAGAAACATTCATTGTTGAAATCTAAATAATAAAACTCCTTAAATTGATTTATATTGTGGTGATTTAAAAATAGAATCATTTTTCATGTGTTGATGCCTCGGTGAAAAATTGATATTGTGTCTTTATAAAATTGGACAAATGAGTCATGTAATTTTCAGTTACATAATCAATAACTTAGACAAATACTACTTCTTTGATGATGTATGTGTGTCTGGTTTTTATACTTATTTAGATGGGACACATCAAATTTCAGAATCCATTTAAAATCAAATAGACACAAAATTTTTTCAATCTATGATTTCCAAACATTGAAGTAAAAAGTCCTGCTCAAATAAACCTGATATTATGAAAATACTTTTTCTAGTGATTAGTTTTAAATTAGGATAAGAGTTTTATAATTCTGGTAACTATAAATGTTGTCTGGAGAGTTTATCTTTATTGGAAATTCATTCATTTTGCAAAGATGATGCTCATATTCCATCAACTTTATTAAAGTCCCACTTTGTTACCTTGTGTTTGAAATATTTTGAGTTATCGTTAAAATTTGGTATATCATTATTTTCATGTCTAAGAATGCTAAGATTCTATTTTGGGCTTGCTAACTCTAACTCGTGTGTGTGTGTGTGTGTGTGTGTGTGTGTTTAAAGTTGAATTCACTCAGAGAAGGCAGGGAAGAAACATGACAGGAGACCACTTACTCTCGGTACAGAATCTAGTAAGGAGGCAATTTTCTTTTTGGCCTATGGTGACCTTTTTTGACTATGTTCCTTACACCAGAGACAGTGTACTGAATGCCTCTATTTCACCCTGTTTAGCAGAGTGCAACAATGTTCTTTAACTTACTTTTGGTGGGAGGAGAAGTTATAGCTGAAATTTGAGAAGGGCGTGAAAAGTTGTAAGAGGCACAAGGAAGAGGGGTAGGAACTTCCTTCAAATGTGATTTTAATAACTAGTCAAGTGTGTCCAACTGTAGAAAATCACCAAGTGACAATCTGTCTACCTGACAGTGATTACAATGAATTACAAGACTTTTGAATAGCTATACAGATTAGAATAAAGCAGGACCAAATAAAATATCTTTTGTTGGTAAAACTTTGACTTACCAGCTAAGAAACTTAAAAAAAAAAAAAAGCCTTCTCTTGTGCTTTGATGTAGAACGTTTAAATTTAAAATCTTGTAAAGTATTTTATAAGCTTTTCATGAAAGAGGTATTTATCTAAAAGTTTTATTTGAACATGTATGAAGAATATGTGGTATTTTGTTAATCAATTTGGTATATATTTTTAAAGTTTTCATATATGTAAAACAACTATATCTTAATTAACAGTCCTAGCACTAAAATCAGAATTTCAATGATCGTCAAAATCTCCAAACCATATCATGGTTTTAGACAATAATATTATCTGATTAGTGGAGTGGAGCGGGAAGAGTTTAAACAATCCCAGTGAAGTTTGTACATAGTTTGTGAAATCAACTGTTAAGGAAAAATCCAACTACATATAGCAATGTAGCATATTTAAAAATAAGACAATTTAGTTTGTACTAATATTAGTTTATTATTACTGCTATCAGCTTTTTTTTTTTTTAAGAGTTAAATTTCAAACAGTAGAAGAGTCTACAATTATAGTTTGGGAAACGAATATCCTTTTTTTTTTTTTTTTTTAGTAAGGATGATTTTTTTCAAAGCTTTATTTTCCATAGCTCTGATGTTTTTATCATAATGTTTTAAGTATGACCCTATGGATTGTACAAGGTAAAATAGGGACACCCAAAGTACAGAATTCAAAAGATAAGATACATAACACTTTCAAAAATTTGTATTGTGCATGCTTGTCAGTAGTAATTGTTTACTCAGATTTTCTATTTTCTCAGGGTTAGAATATTCCATCAGTTGTAACATAACCTAAATAACAAAGTTTCCTTAATTATAATCACAGAAATGTTTGCCTTGTGAAAATTAAACCAGACAGGACAACATGTTTTTTAAAAGTTTTAACAGCTCAATAAGCTGTATTTTAAACTTTGGAACTTTTTTCCTGGTATTAGTTCTCTATAAAGAGAAATTTTTATGATAGTTGAAAAATGAAAGAAATTTCAGGATTAAAGAGTTGCTTCCATATATTATAGTAAGACATTAGTTTATTCTGTTTTATGATTTGTTTGGCCTCCTAAAAGAAGAACGTGAAAAAAGTCCAGGGTGCTCAGGTAGACATTATATAGACATGTAAATCTGTAGAATGTTAGATTATATTTCTTTTTTATCATTCAAACAAATAAAAACTGCTTATTAAGGCACATGTAAAGGAAAGAAAATCCAACAAAATGCAGTTTAAATTGTAAACTTCAATTTCAAAGAGGTTCATTTCTCAAAGTATATATTATAAATATTAATGTGGTTTGAAAATGTACTTTTATTTGATAATTTATTTCAATCATTTTGGGGGTTCTGGAAGATCTGAAGTGCTTGTTTTAAAATTTAAGCTTTATAATCTTCATGTTACAAGTATGTCTTTTTGTTCTTATATATATATATATATATATATATATAATCTATGCTTATTTACATACACAATTTTGGCAAACAATTTTAAATGACTTTCAGAAAAATTAAAACTATAACCTTTTATACAAGATTATATAAAATAATGGAATATTTTAATGAATATGCAAATATGTTAAATAACTTATGGGATTTTAATAACTTTTTTATGAATTGAAATCGTTTCTAGGTTTAAATTATGCTGTCTTCTTTGCTTTCAAAACAGGAAGGATATGGAGTAATAGTACTCAATCCCAATGAAAACTATATTGAAGTAGAAAAGCCAAAGATACGTGTAAAGTCATCTTCTGATAGTTCATATGAACCAGCAGAAAAACGGGAAAGAAAAGATAAAGTCTCTAAAGAAACAAAGAAGCGACGTGATTTTTATGAGAAGTACCGTAACCCTCAAAGAGAAAAAGAAATGATGCAGTTGTATATCAGAGTAAGTAATAAATAAGATCATTACTTTCCTTCATTATTTTCTTTATATTTTATTTCATATAAATTATTTTGTTTATTTTTGCAAAGAAACTTAATTCTTTAATTTTTAGTCATTTTCCATTGCTACATGAATGAAATGTATTCTGTTTTTTATTTAGAATTACAAACTCGTTATTCTTATATCAGTGTTATATTTTATATGTCTCAAAAGCAATTAATAGTGCAGCATACAAAACATCCGTCTTCATCTTGGGGGGTGATAGTTTTAATGCATTGTTTTCCTAAGAGCAACCATCCATCCACGGTGTCTCAGCTTAACTTCTGAAGGCAGATGGAGGGAGGAAGAGTAATTAATATCTTAATAAATATTTAAGCTAGAATAGTTTAGGGATAGTGTAATGAGGGAACTCTGTCCTTTGCTCTTTTCTTACCCATTGAACCTTTGCACTTTGTAATGCTAGCAGCATGAAATCATTATAGCAGTACTGCTCAAGGAGTTCGAATTCTGTAGTGGGCACAAAACAATTGTATCTGTACTTTGACACATTCTTCTTGATACATATGTGTGTGTGTGTGTGTGTGTGTGTGTATATATACACACACACACACACGAGATATATATATATATATATACACACACACACATACATACACACTGCATTATACGTATATATGGGACAGACTCATGCACTTTTGATAGCCCTTATTATGGATGCTAGAAATACCATTTAATAGTAAAGCATGTCAAGATGCTACTGGGTAAGTAAAATAGTAAATTGATATCTTCTTCAAAAGTGAGCAATTCAGAACATTTAAACAGACAAATTAACATTTTATAAATTATACTGTAAAATAGTAAAATTTGAGATTATTCAACTTGAGCTCTTTTTACATTTACTTGAGAAGCTCATTAATAAAATATTTCATACCACTTTTGAGGGGAAAAAACCTGGCTTTCAAAATTATTTTCTTTAATACACTTCTAGTCCAAGGCATAATCGCTATACTTTTGGGAATTATACTCCAAACATTCAAGACATTTGGTTATAGGTCAGTCTGTTGAGTACATAATGACAGGTAAGCAGTAGTAAAAGCAGTATATAAATTCTCAGCACCCAAAAATATGTGTCCTGACCAAGAATACCCAAAGCACAGCGAGTCAAGCAAAAGTTTGGCAGATTACAATATTTAAATTTCTGAAAAGCACCTTATTTAAAAAACGAAAACAATGATTAGACTTCAAGTCAGTAAGTAGCTTGCTTGTTACGCTGCAGTTATATTACTGCCTTCTTTTCCTATGACGGCAGCAGGGTCGTCATCACCTTCTTTAAACGGTTGTCCTCAGCTTCCTGTTATATGATCCAGTCAACCACCATCCTCAGTCAGTTTTTAAAAAACTACCTCTGATAACCAGATTCCGAATACAAATTGTATAATTTTTTTTTGAAATATACAAATCATTGAGAGTATTCACTTGCCTATGTGAAATGCACACAAAAAATGATGTTGTATACTGTGTTTTATTTCTTCTTAACCAGTTTCTTTTATTTGCCTATGATATGTACAGATTAAGCATCTACTTGTGACATCTGTCTTGTAGGTTTTATGTCTTCTTTTCTAATTTCTCTTTATCTTGTAACCATTGCTTTGATTTTTTTTTACCTTTTGTTCTCTTGTATGTGTACATTTTCTTTATTCTGTTTTTCACATGTTTAGTTTATTCCTGCATCAATTTCTTTCTTACACCAAGGGAAAAAAATTCTTTTTATGTTGCTTCATTGTTAAGATATGCTCTTTGTCTTTATCATTTTTCTTTAATTCTTTCATCTCTTTCACACTTCTGCCATTTTTGCTTGTTTCCTTATCATGTCTTTTGCCTCTTTCTTTTTTATCCCATTTCATTCATCAGTCTAGATTCCCAATGAAAGTACTAAAAGACAAAAATAGACTAATGTAGATGACACAACTTCATACATGATAGTCTTAGTTATGAAATGTTATTTTTCTTAATAAACACCTTTCTCTTAAAATTTCCAGAACTGTGCAAAATAGCAGAGTGAAGCTGATAGTCTTCAAGTATACTGCTATATAGTAAGGCATGATCCTATAGTAGGAAAGAAAAAAAATGCTTGTTTTTGTGTAAGGTGCGTTAATTCTTAGGTGATTTTGATCCACTTGAGAAGTGACTTCTAGCACTCTCCTTTCCTCTACACACTTCCAAATAACAAGTATTCATAAATTTCGGACACAGAGCATGGTATGTGATGGGAATAAATTAACTTTTATTTATATACTTCTTAAACATTTACATTTTCAAATTGATTATTTATTATTTGAAACAACCCTGTGACATAAATGGATCAAAAATGATATAGTTATTTTATAGTTAAGGAAACTGCTAAACAGATGGTCCATTTTTGTCTAGGGTCATATAACTAATAAATGGTAGAACTAAGTATTAAAACCAGGACTTCTAATTACTATGCATTCTTACCCCCTTTCTTCTTTACTTCATTGTTCTAACTAGTTGAAAACAAAATATGTATCTGAAATATGAAAATCAAACCAATTATAATAAAATCATGATATGATATAGTAAACTATATCTGATGATTATATAGATTTTTGACTCAATATCATTTAATAGACACTATTCACTGTCTATAAACAATTTTATATCATATATATTCATAATGTCAAATAATAAATAAAAATTGTATTATGTATTAAAATGTTTGTTCTCTTTTAATAGGATCACTAATATTGATCGACTTTTCCAGATGAGGAAACCGTAGGTCCACGATGTAGTAATTTTCCCAAGTTCACAGAGCTCTTGCTATAAGCTTCATGAGAGCAGGGACCTAAGTCTGTTCTGCTCACTGCTGTGTACCCAGAGCCTAGAATAGAGCCTTTGTAATAAGGATTGATCTAGCAGGACCTTCACAGTAAACTTTTATTTGATAAATAATGTGGTGGAGCCAGGATTCAAATCCCAAACACCTATTTAAAAAAAAAAAAACATATGCCCTGCGTTATTAAAGCATGCCTCTTGATTTTTTGCGAGGAAATATTCAAACCAAAAAAAAGAAAAATTACATTGTTGGTTCCTACCCAATCCAGTGGCTGAGAATACGTTCCATAAATTAATGATAAAAAGTATTATTTGATACCTTGATTGATCTACCCATTTTCATCTGAATGTATATCCTGTTTTCCTTTTTAGCTACATCATCATGGTGCTAAAATTATGGATGAAAATGGTAATATTTCATGCTGACCTACTACTGTTTCTGTTTTACACACTTGCTGATAAGATTACAGCCAGGCCGCTGTACTTGCTCCACCCTATATACACTTGGCGCTTTATGGGATCTGTAACTTTCCTTCCTGTTCTTTACCTTAATCCAAATTCTATCCATGTTGTAGTGCCAAACTGATATCCCACCTTTTCCACTCACCATGATCAGTGACCTCTCCTTAGTATGAATCATGGAAGTTACTATGATTGGTTAACTTATATGAAATTGATCATGTGTTAACTTGAGATGTTGTTTGTGGTTTTGTCTCATAATATTATTAATATTACCAATTTATCTTTTATGCTTTTCCACTGGATCTTCCCACAAACATTGGGATCTTTTAGCATGCTTTATAGATTTTAGAATTGCATGTCAATGCTTAAGGATAAGCAGATATGAGCTAGTTTTTACAATAGTACAGAGCATACTGTGAGAGAGTCAGGAACTGATACTAATCCCGCTCACTTAGAATCCAGCCCCCTGGAAGAAAACCAAAGCAAAAACACTAGGTCTTAGTCTAGAGATACCTAGATAATGTGACCTGCAGCATCGAAATGAGTGTTATTCTGGTATCAAACTGAAACATAAGAGGATGATACTCAAACTAAGGGAGAAGTTCAATTAAAAGAACTTTACAGTAGGACATAGGTGGAATATATGCAAAAGTGACTTAATGCTGATCTATGTAATACTGGGTTGCAACTGCTTGAATAACTCTTCCCTTAGAGACTTAGTTGTGGGCTGTGGTGATAGGAAGTAAAGGAGAAGGATTAGACCCAGAACATTAGAAAAAAATAATAAATGCAAGAAGTGCAGAGGGAAAGGAAATAATATGGCCACACAAGGAAAAACCCAAAAGGGGAGGAGACATATACATAATAGGAATCTTGGCAGAGCCTGCCTTTACACATTGAAGATACTCAAATATTTATGGATTGATTTCTTGTTGACATCCATCATAAAAATCTTATTCCTTAACATGCGAGATATTTTGCGTCTAGTTTTCTGACTGATATTTTCAGCATTCATGTGAATTTTTGTAATTGTTCAGGAGCAGCCAACTCTGATAAACTGAAGCTTTCTTTTAAAAAATATGTTTTGGATGTTCTGACTTGGGTTATGTCCAAAATATTGGTGAAGACTAATAAATATCCTCTCTTCTCTGTACCTCTTCTTTTCTGTGCTAATTTCACTGGAGCCATTTCTATCTAGTGTTTTAACAACCAAATTCAATTTACTTATATCAATGATTGTTTAATCTCTGGAACCATTTTATTTTCCTAGTATATTGAAGTATTTGAATTTTCTTTTTCTTTGGCCAAAATCTCCTTTCAAATTTTACACATATCTAGTATACACAGGCAGAATTAAAGTTGAATACAGGTCTAAAACTTTAAGATTACCAAAGTATAATTATATTTTAGTTACTAAATGAGTATAAATAGATATGACTAATTATTGGATTATGTAGCACATTTCTAATGCATTAGGAGCAGAGCTTGAGAGATCAAAGTACTTACTGTTTCATGTGGCAACTTTCCTTAAATATGAAATAATGTACTTTCTGGCATATATTATGGCTTATTAAGGGGATTGATTTGGTCTAGGCAATAAACATCATGTCAGACATGCCTGGCAGGAAAACCTGCTTAATATGTTTTGTAATAAGACAGAATTTTTTGTTCTCGAAAACATCTGCCAA